TATTTATTTTCTGTTTCAAACGATATTAAATGAAATAAAACTTATATTTTATTGTCCCGCAGTAAACTGAGCGTAAAGACATGGCTCCCAGTAGAACACCGAAGTCAAGCATTACTGACTAAGTGGGTAGGTGACCACTTTGATCAGCCTGTGTAGGCACTGAGGTTGCGCGGTATCGGTCCTCATTAAACTGTTCTACCGTAAAGTGCTCAACTTTGCGAGCAGGTCATGGAGCTACCAAAGCAGGAGAGCCATCCCCTCTGCAGAGGATCAAAATTGTGATGGCATGCCTTCAGATCATCCTCATTAATGTTTCCCCAACAGTTACCAAAAGCCCCTTTTGCAGCTCTAGTGCGACGTTAATAAAGTACTTACCTATCATAGTTTACTTATAAGTTTTAACTTAGCAATATAAATCTTTCTTCTCTCTGTGAACTTGCAGATAAGAATTTTGTACAAGATTTTGTATGCTTTTTAATGCTAAAAACGGTATAATAAGGAAAGCTAAGATTCATTTGCCAATTATATAATGAATTTCTGTGCAGAAATTGTTTTAAACCAAGCATGAAAGTGTGACTGTTCATCTCATATTTAAATGAAGAGTACAGGGAATGGTACTGTTTTATATTCGCTTTCAGAAACATTGCTGAAATTAGGTAGGAGTTAATTTTTTATGCCGAGTAGAATTTATTAATTAATGTTTTTTACCATATAAAAATTTTCATAACCAAGTTAAAAGAGATATAAATACTTCTGCATATGAGATGCTAGCAAACTATTAGATTAAGCTAGGTTAGGTTATGTCTATTTTCATATTTTTCTTTTTCTTTCTTCATCAATGTTTTGGCAGTAGTACACTTTTATATTTAATTTTGTTGTGCTGTGCAAAAATTTGGGACTTAGGAAGTTGAAATTACGAAATCGCAAAGAAAAATGAACAGGGAATGGATGGAAAGAAATTAACATTTTGAGAATCAATAACTGTTTGGCTTGTAGGAAAAATACTTAATGCAGAAAAAAATACTACTTACAGTAGAAAAAATATTCCTCACTCTGATGATACTTTTCCACTACTCTATTTTATAGTTTTAGAAAAAAATACGACTTATAGTAGAAAAAATATTCCTTACTCTAATAATACTTTTCCACTATTCTATTTTATATTAGTAGTAGAAAAAAATACTACTTACAGTAAAAAAAATATTCCTTACTCTAATAAGACTTTTTCACTACTCTAATTTAGATTAGTAATAGAAAAAATTACTACTTACAGTAGAAAAAATATTCCTTACTCTAATAATACTTTTTCACTACTCTACTTTAGATTAGTTGTAGAAAAAATAATACTATTGCACAAAAATACTACTTACTATGTTGCCCTGGTACCTGTAGAAATGCTACTACAAATTTGAATATTTGACGTTCTAAAACGGCCATTTTCTTTCATGAAACTAACTTTTTTTCTTCAAAATTCTAATTTGCCTGAAAGTTATTGCAATTTTAAGTACGTTTATCGTGAAATTTTTTCAATTTTGCTTTATATAATGATCATATAACTATTGTTGTAGAAAAATTTATTTATCTGTCTCTACATCTTTATTTTATGAGTTAGCACTTGAGTTGATGTCGATTTCAACAAAATAATGAGAGAGATAATTTGTTGTTAGTTATAAGTCTCAAAATTTGTAATGAAATTAAAAAAAAACTATAAAAATAAAAATAGCTTCCTTTTTAAACTGTTATATTGATGTAAATTACTTCTCATTTTTATATACTTATCTGGACACTCATTCTGTATTTTTACATTTAAATTATTTTTGAGGCACAGTTTTTTTTTTATATTCAAATAATCGTATATTTGGTATGATTAACCTATTAAGAAACATATTAACAAATTAACAAAGGTTCTAGAATAAAATTAAAGTAATTGCATAAATTTTTAATAAAGCATTCTTTGTTTTGTGAACAATATCCAAAATGGTATCAAAATAAAACCAATGATGAAAACGGAGCATACATGGGGGCTGCTTAGTGGAGAGTTAGTAAAAAATAACATTATTTTCAGTATTTAAGGGGTTCATTTAATTTTATTTTAATGAGAAAGTTTAGCATCAATAATGAAGATTACACGATAAAAAATAAACACTGAAATATAATTTTCTTTATTTCTGACAAAACCGCTTCCTGGCATATGCTGAGTAAAAATTTCGTCAAAGGGATGAAATAACTATCGTCACTTCTTCGAGGAAACGAATTTCGTAAAAATTAGAGAAATATTTCATCAGTCTACTTTTTTCAAAAATAAATAAATAAATAAAGAAATAAATAAGTAAGTAAATAAATAAATAAATAAATACATAAAAATTCCTATTGGTAACAAAAACTATGTAAATAGGGGTCGCAAATTTGTATTCCCGTACTGTGATTTGTCAGATCTCGAAAGCATTTTTGTTTTTTCATCGGTTAAATATTAATTTGCTACCACCATTTTATCTGATTTTTTTGCTTTAATATTTGATAAGGGATTCGCAAATACATATATAAAGAGATGCTACTCTGAATTTACTTGATTTTAAGACACTTATTTTCATTGATTTGAACAAGTTAAAGAAATTAAAACATAAGTTATGGCTCTTTAAATTGCATTATAAATAGTAATTTCATTTACATTAAAATAACAAATGAATTATATATGATATAGTGCTAATTTAGTTATGAATGTGATAAGTTATAATAATAATAATATAAACGACGATAAAATCACAATAAAAGTTAAAACATATTAAGAAGTTGTTTTATGAACGAATTCACTTAATTTGTTTCCTATTTAATTTCAACGCACAATTTCAATAACTTATTAATGCACTGCTAGAAACTCTTCAGAATAAAATGGTTAAATAACAATTTACTTAAATACTTTTGTACCATATTCAAACAAAACAGTCAAATAACCATAAATAAAATGATAAGCAAACTGTTAACTGTGAGAAAAACTGTTTATTAACTGCGTTCACCTAATACGGTTGAACAACCAGAATTTTGTCGTACCAACTATGCTCACCTAATGAAGCCACTTAGTTCCTTGACACTGCTTACATATTATGGCCGAGAGGGCTAATCTGTCAGTCTAGTGACCTGCAGAACTGGGGTTCGAATCCCAGTGTTGACATCACCATAATGCCGCCATTCCCTTCAGCACATGCTGAGTTTCAAGCGTCTTGGATTCCTAAATTTCAACAACCTGCACTTTTCAATGCGCATTTTCAGATGAAAAGCCTAGCTCCTGTGCCTAGTTAAATTACTTTTTCATGATTTTGAAACCATACTAGTTGTAAATGGTTAAAAACCGTATAGTTTTGATTCATGATTCATGATTTTTTAAGCCTACTAGTTGTAAACAGTTTCAAAACTGTCAAGGTAAAAAATGTTTTCTACCGTAAACTTTACGGTTAATTGGATAGACAGACTGCTGCCGGTTATTTTACCATAATTTTAAAGTGGAATTTTAACAGTGTGCACAAGTTTCAATGTATGTATTTTTTTGACACCGGTTTCACGCAATTTAATATTGTTACTTCAATTTGTAGTTTTGCCTTGATTTAAATTAGCCTAATGCAATTTCAAATTATCTAAGTAAATGTTAATCAGCATGTAAAAAACATAAAAATTATTCTTAAAGCAATTTTTGTGAATCTTCAAACAGAATAAATAGGAAAACATTTTATACAGTTTTAAAATATTGTTCTTTTAGTTTATTGCTTAATACTGCAAATAAATTGGTAAATTTTAAGTGGAGCGAAACGGATATAGTTTTAGTGTATACCAATTTGATACTATTATCGATTTATTGGAAAGAAGTTATTTTGACGATAGCAGTAAACTGAAACTTTTATGATTTTCTGAGAAATAATCTTTTATTAGAAGCTACTGTTTATGGGATTTCCCACGTTTTATCACTGTTTGATCATAAATATATTTGTAGAAAGTGAATTTAAATAAATATAAATGATAAAAATTTAAATTTTTAAAAGCAATTCTCGAGTAAATTAATAAAGATCTAAAAATACTTTTGTTTTGTTGAACTGTTTGAGTCAGTTATATAATTCTTGTGAATAATTGTAGCCATAAAAAATAAATGTAAAATGAATAAAATTAAATATTCTCACTAATATTTATACCGTCAGTATCCCAGATAGTAGTGTAGGGTTAATTTTAGTGTTAGCAACAACCTTTATCACAAAACCCAACAAGGTTTATAAATGATTAGCAAAATAAACTATGCAGGCTTGAAACAATGTAAATTTTAATTATGCTTTTTTACGCGCAATGAGGTTTGCATTAAACTAGTAAAAACAAGCCTTTAATATCGAGATTGAATTTGTCTTTACAAAATAAGGCTAGAAAAACCTCCATGAGGACGAATCATCAGTCGGAAATCAAGAGTAGAAACTGTTTTCAAACCGAGGATGAATTCACCTTCTCAAGCTTCTTTTTAGGTTTCATGACTATCACTGAAGCAAGGTTTTTATTTGCTTATAACTAAGATCTAAACTTTATTAAAATTAACTTTAGATGTGTTTTTAAATTCTTCAAAAGAAACTTATCTACAAAAGTGTCCCTACAATAGAAAATAGTTTTATTAAATTATTTATTAAAAAAAATATTATCTATATATATAAAAATCTCTTGTCACAGTTTTAGTGGTTAAACTCCTCCTAAACGGCTGGATCGATTTTGATGAAATTTTATATGTATATTCAGTAGGTATGAGAATAGGTTTATAACTAATTTTTTTTTCATTTTTTGGACAGATTTAACGTATATTTTAAATATATCTTTATTTAATCATATTCCAATCCAAACTAGACATAGAAACCTGATAAATCAAAAAGTAATATTCACGCACGTTGCAACAATTCACTTTAAACTCTAATACTTATGCTCGCCCTTAAAAGAAGAGCATCAAATATATTTGCAAGTATGTGAATAAAGGCAGTGATATGGCAGTATTTCGAGTTGAAAATACCAATGTGACTGCCCCTCCAGTGAATAACAACGATGAAATAACGCTGTACCAAATTGGCCGGTACATCAGCTCCAATGAAGCAGTTTGGCGTATCTTTGGTTTCCCAATTCATGAACGGGATCCAACCGTTATTCATTTAGCCGTCCATCTTGAAAACGGTCAGCGCGTATATTTCACGAACGAGACAGCGATTGACAGAGCTATAAATCCACCAAAAACTACACTCACCGAATTTTTTGAATTGTGTAATCGTGCTGATGCTTTTGGTGCTTTTGCACGGACATTACTTTACTCAGAAGTACCACACTATTTCATATGGTCTCAAACAAAAAAATGGATACCCCGCAAGCAAGGCACACCGGTTGAAGCATGTCCCGGTTTATTCAAATCAAACGCCTTGGGGAGAGTATTTACAGTCAATCCAAGGCAGACTGAGTGCTTTTATCTTCGACTGTTGTTGGTTAATGTCACCGGCTCATTGTCATTTCGCGATATACGTAAAGTCGATGGGCATCAGCATCCAACGTATAAAGATGCATGCCTTGCACTCGGCTTGCTGGAAGATGACAACCAGTGGGAATGTATGCTTGCTGAAGCAGCATTGAACTGTACTGCTAAGCAAATTCGTGTACTATTCGCTATAGTATTAACTACATGTTTCCCGGGCAGAATAGAAACTTTATGGGATAATCACAAAGATTCGATGACTGATGATATACTGTATCACCATCGCACACGTTGTAACGATCTAACGATAGCATTCAGCGATGCTATGTACAATGAAGCACTGATTGCTATTGAGGATCTTTGCATTACTATTGCCAACTTGCCTCTCAGTCATTTCGGTATGCTTTCGCCAAATCGAAGTGCATCTGATTTTTTAAACAATGACATGAATCGTGAACTTCATTACAATACAGTAGAAATGGCAGCTATTGTGACTCGCAATGTTCCACTGATGAATGAGGAACAAAGGAACATATATGACCGCATTATGCTCGCAGTTTCGGCAGGTCAAGGTGGATTTTTTTTTTGGAAGCACCAGGTGGAACTGGCAAAACATTTATTATTTCGCTAATTCTCGCTGAAATACGATCAAATAATGGCATCGCGTTGGCCGTTGCATCATCTGGCATTGCGGCAACTTTATTGGATGGAGGCAGAACAGCTCATTCAGTATTTAAGCTGCCACTAAATATTCAAAACAACCCGGACGCAGCGTGCAGCATAAAAAAGCAATCGTCTATGGCCACAGTGTTGAAACACTGTAAAATTATCATCTGGGATGAATGCACAATGGCACACAAACATTCGCTTGAGGCGTTGAATAGGACATTGAAAGATATAAAGAACAATGACAAATTATTTGGCGGCACTCTGCTACTCCTTTCAGGTGATTTCAGGCAAACACTTCCCGTCATTCCGCGTTCAACGTACGCTGATGAGATCAATGCTTGCTTGAAATCATCTCCACTGTGGTATAATGTTGAAAAAGTTCAACTAACAGTAAATATGCGAGTCCAAATGCTTCAGGATCCATCTGCTGAAACATTCTCAAAACAATTGCTAGATATCGGTGATGGAAAAGTTACCAAGGATGAGACAGGATGCATAAAATTACCGGAGGATTTCTGCACAATCATTGATTCAAAAGATGCTCTCATTAACCTTATATTTCCCGATTTACACACGCAATACATTAATCATGAGTGGCTTGCAGAAAGGGCGATTTTAGCAGCAAAAAATGTGGACGTCAACGAATTGAATCTGAAAATACAACAGTTATTGCCAGGTAACATGGTGACATACAAATCCGTTGATGCAGTTTGCGATCCTATGGAAGCTGCATATTTTCCAACAGAGTTTTTAAATTCATTGGATTTACCAGGCATGCCACCGCATAATTTAGTACTTAAAGTTGGATCTCCTGTTATTTTGCTTCGTAATTTGAACCCACCACAGCTGTGCAACGGCACGCGATTGGTCGTTAAAAAATTAATGAACAACGTTATCGAAGTCATTATTTTAAATGGAAAATTCCGGGGTGAAAGTGTATTACTTCCACGAATCCCTATTATACCCACAGATGTGCCAATTCAATTTAAACGCATTCAATTCCCCATTAGATTGGCATTTGCAATGACTATTAATAAATCTCAAGGCCAAACAATGTCTGTTTGTGGCTTAGATTTGAGCACACCATGTTTTTCACACGGACAATTATACGTGGCATGCTCTCGAGTGGGTAAACCATCCAGTTTATTTGTGTTAGCAAAAGACGGAATGACAAAAAATATTGTACACTCCATTGCACTAAGAGATTAATATTGTTTACTAATATTTTCAGAATTAGTTGTATATATAATTTATAAAAAAAAGTTACAATAAATTTAAAAAATTATTATTTGGTGTGTTGTTATTTTCACCTTCCGTCATCGTTCACAGCGCTCCATGCCACTGCCACTCACATACCACATACGCACACACTTACAATAAATAAGATATATTTTCATACTCTAGAAATAAATCATATGGCAAAACAACGTTTGCCGGGTCAGCTAGTTTATTAAAAAAAATTTAGATCACCATTCATAATTTTCACTTAATTTCAAACTTTTTAGCTATAATATTTCCTTTTTACGCTAGACCTCTGAGCATATCAAATGAAAACTGACTTATTTCATCTCAAGATTCGTTTTTTGATTTAAAATCTCTGTTATTCAGTTTGTAAGAGTTTAGAGGACAATTTTTAGATTAAATACACTATCCTCAGTATGCTTGAAAAAAATGTTTTTTTTTATTGTTATATTTGCATGTGGAGACTTGTGTGCTCATTACAAAACACTCTTTATAAGTTCTTCTTCAGTTTAAGAAAATAGCATAAATTAAAGAAAACATTACAAAGTTGCAGTGTAGAGGTAGCTGGTTCAAATCCCACCGTGTCCTAGGTTGTATGTGTGTGCTGCCTTTCTCTATCTTGTGTCATCTGTATATCGACTTCACAGAACTTTTTAACTCCACAAACCTGCGTATGTGTGCGTAACAATAATTAAATAGATGCATCCAGGGTTACATTGGGATTTCGAACCGTTACCTTTAAGCTTCCATTTTAGGATGTTGGGACAGCAATGATGTTGTAATTTTATTTACTCTAATGTAGTATTTATTTTGTAACAGTTAGTTACTGATTTAGTTCAGGTATTTGTACATTTACAATGGCATATTTCTTATAATTTTAAATGTTGGTAGATGTTAACTTACAGCTTACATTGGAAAAAACCCCCATTGACGAAGCACAAAATTAGCAAGTGTTTACTTCATTGTTATAATCACTGATTTCTGCTTAAAATTATCTAATTTTGCAGCATTTATTACCAAACAGCATCGTAATAAAAACCATATTTTATTGCTAATTTTAAAAAAAAGTCATAACCAAAGAGATTTGTTAAAAATTACCTTGGTTTTTAGTGTTCCCGTGCAGCCAGAAACATGATAAATTTGACCATATTCTGGTTATTTCGACCATACTTTTTTTTCTCTGTTTATAATGATAAAAAGGCAAAAACAAGGTTTACGGTAAAAGCTGAAAATTGAAACTTTCTTTGTAAAGTTATTCAATCTTTAAGGAAACAAGGTTGGCGGACAAACATTTCCATTAACTTTAAAATAGGATTAATTAGTTAATCTTTCTATGCCAACCATATGAAATAAAATTCAATGCTTCTTGTAGGTTGTTTGCTACCTGGATATGAATCTCTTATATAATGATAAAAACACTGTGGAAAACAGCACTCCTTAAGATTGAAAGGGAAATTTTTTATCAATAAGGGTATAAAAATTTTATATTATTCATTCATGTTGAAGATTTCCCAACATTTTGAGAATCTGTGTAGAGATTGTGGCAGGCAAACTATTCCCTTGTAAAAATAATCACATTGCATAATAACTATCACTGTTTTTAAAAGTCTGAGTAATATTTAAAAAATATGTGTAAAATTCCGGACATTATATAAAAGTTAATAACAATGGTTGGAGAATTAACTTGAAAATCATTTCATAGTAATGAAAAAAATCTTGAAATTTTTCGTTAAAGAAGAATATAATACAGCATCTGCATGTTTATCTCATGAATCTTAATATTTTCATAGATTCATAGTTCATTTTATAGCTACCCAATCCAGATTTTTATTTTAGATTTAAACTAAAACAATTAGTCATGGGTAATTTTCGTTTGACAATTAATATTTTTTGATTTAATAATATTTAAATAATTATATAAAATTTAATACGATTGTTTTTTAATTGTCATTAAAAAACTTGTTCACATTTCTGTAAAAAGACACAATGATCAGTTAAGACTTCTGTCATAATAATATAAGCTACAAGATTAACACGACGCATAGAGACTCCGAGAAAATACTTAAAATCTCAACTTCCAAATAGATTCAAAGGAAAATAAAAGCAAAAACAATAATAAATACAATGCGTAAATCAAAACGATGAGAAATCAGCATACTTTATAAAAATTAACAAATAAACGGTAGACTGAAATACAACGAATTACTTTAATGTCATAGTACCAATCTTTAATTACGTTAAGTTTCGTTTTTTTCCAGCTCAGAGACACAAAACTACAGAAATCGGAGAGAGATGTACAGAATACAGAAATTGGTTTCAAATTAAGCTTCATAAATCTAAAATATAGCTTTATTTTTAGTTTGCTTGTAAAATTTTCTTCTCGAAAAAATTCTTAGCAATAAAACTAACTTTTTATATAAAAAAAATTATTTGGCATATAATAGTATAAATAACTTGATAAAAATGACAAGTAGATCTATCATAACTTTTAAAATCTGAATATTTCACGAAATAAATTTTATTCTTTGAATATTATATTTGCGTGTAATAGTTAAGATTTATTTTTAAGAAATATACTTATATTTCTGAGATATATATTTATAAGAAGTATATATACTTATAGAAGTATATTTATAAAAAATATATATACTTATAATTCTGAGATTCCACTAGATAAAAGTACCTTTTTTAAGAGGAAGTGTATTTTCGTCTTATTTCGACCAATTAGAGAACGTTTCACGCCTGTCATAATTCATTAATAGAGTTAGATATTAGGAATTCTAGTCCATTCTGGTGTCTCATAGTGCATCTTTTTTTTAGTTATTTAAATTTTCGTTTTTATTTGCAAGTATTTTAGTATCGTTGCCACTGGGAAAAAAAACTCATCCTTTTTTTCCTCCAGTTCTTTATTAATCTTGATCTTTCTGGAATTTTTATGTATAGATTACGCAGAAATAATTACTTTCTATTCCCTAAATAGTTTCAAACAATAGCTGGGAAACAACTGTCTAAAGCACAATCTCAAAATTTAAGATATGTTTTGTATTTTTAGGGGGGTTCTTTAGTTTTTCGTTTTTAAAACTTGAATTTTTTATTCTATAATCCTTCTTCTTATACTTAAAGTGAACATTAAAGGAAAGGCAATTACCTTTGTCTTATAATAGCTACCTGTAAAAATAAAGCTTCACACGTCACATTCAAACCTTAATCCGATTTAAGCCCGGTAGAGGTTTTTGTTTCAAAATAACTTATACTTCTAAGAAAGTAACGGTAGCTTAAGGAAAAAAGCAATTATTTCAGAACATAAATGGTAGAACACAACCTACTTATATAAATTTTAAATATTTATGTTCTGAAAGCTTTAGAAGGTACTGAAGGTAATATTTTAAGACTATACATTAAAAAAATGATAAATACAGAATTTAAGTTTTTTTTTATTATTTAAAGTACTAATTATTTGGCTCTTTTCTTACCAAAGTAAAAATGCAATAAAGGATTTCAAGGAATTTAATTCGAGTCGTTTGATGAGTATTAAATACTTTTCGATTGAAAAAATGATTAAAACAGTTCACAAAGAAAAAAATTCTGGTGAAGTTTCCAAACTTTATGGTCATGACATTTCTGGTAAAAAAAATCTATAATTCTGATTCATAAATCCAAAATAAATGCCCCCCCCCAAATAAGCGGGTAATTATGCATACTAACATTTAATACATATTTACTTTTACGTATACATTATCAGAAAACTGATTTAATGATTGAATTGAACTATTCGACGGAATGAATTGCAAAGTGTTAAATTAAATCCTATTTCAAGCCAAATTGATTATCATGTACACTGAAGAGCCAAAAAAACTGGTATACTTGCCTAATATCGTGCAGGGTACCCGCGAGCACGCAGAAGTGCCGCAGCACGACGTGGCATGGATTCGATCAATGTGTGAAGTAGTGCTGGAGATAATTGACACCATGAATCCTGCAGGGCTGACCATAAGTGGGAGTAAGAGGGGGTGGGAATATCTTCTGAACATCACGTTGCAAGGCATCCCAAATATATTCAATAATGTTCATGTCTGGGGATTTTGGTGACCAGCGGCACTCTTTTGAATTTAGACACTTCCGCTGGCCACCAAGATCCCCAGACATGAACATTATTGAATATATTTGGGATGCCTTGCAACGTGATGTTCAGAAGATATTCCCACCCCCTCTTACTCCCACTTATGGACAACCCTGCAGGATTCATGGTGTCAATTATCACTGTATGGTGGTTTCACGGTAAAAAATTCAGGATCAAATTCCGGTACATAAAGAACCGAAACTTTGGGTGCATCATGCATAAAATCCATTTTATCGTAAAATCAATTTTTAGCGTAAAATGTTATAACGGCGCTTTTTACAATACTATTTATTTAATTAGAGTGATTCTGTGATCTTACGGTAATTATTAATGTAAAAATTACGGTATATCATATTTTTTGTTCCGTAACATGTTCCGGTAAAAGTGAATTCAGAAAATGACCAGAATCTTGAGGGCCGGTACTTTTCACATTAATTTGATTCGGAATTTTTTTTTAGAGTATACTGTTAAAATATAAAATAACTTCGTAAATATATTTCGTTATTTACTACTACTACTACTACTACTACTACTACGACTCACTGGTTTAACAGTCCCTTAAGAAAGTGAACCTGTCTTAGAATAACCTCACAGTTCTGGGCTTAAGACTTAAAGTTTCTAATTTTTAACATTTTAATATCCTACTCAAAATCTTTAAGCCATTTTTCCATGGTCTTCCATGCGGTTTAGAACAGTCACGTTTTGAGTCAAAGAACTTTATTATAACTCTAAGAGTGTTGATTCGCTAATGACCCAACATATTTTACGAGGAATGTGGTCACTTCAGTCTCGTTATCTTTATATCAGCGATTATATCAATGTCTTTATACTTTTTTTAAAATCTAAAAATTGTCGAGTAACATATTCCACTATCATTGACAGGAACAAATATTTTTCTTACTACCTCTTTCTCCCAGATTAACAAT